CCAGCCTATAATACAATACAGCGAATTGAATTGTAAACATGTATGGCGTGTAAATGTAAAAATTCACCTCTTTTGGTGTTTTTTTGGCCAATTTTTCAATTAAAATTGAAGCGATTCATTCGAATATGTCTGGATCAATATTATCTTCTGTTGCTCTTTCTGTGTTATCCATTTTTGCAGGCTTTGTCTTAGGGGAGTTAACCTAACAAAGAAACATTGACATTGTGCATGTTAAGAGAAATTTTAATGACATTTTGTAATAACTGCAGAGTTCACTCATTTTATATAGTTTTTCAAATTAGAAATGAAATTAGCAAACTGAACAGTAGATTTTACAATTTTACCTTGTTTATTATAACACACTGTTTTGCAAAATATTGCACCAGGTGCAAAACAGTTTCTGCCGTTTCTGGGGAAACTTCTTCTGGTATAGTAAGCTCTCCGTCTTTGTGGCCATTGTCCAGGAAGAATGCCAAGGTGTTGAAAAGTACATGAACAACACCACAGAGCCTAAAAATGTCCATAATGTATAAATTGTTCTTTATTTCAAGTGCTGACACATGATAGCAATATACAATACCACACCTGATGAAAATTTTTCTGTCTTTAGACATGTTGTCTTTGATTATTATGTCTTCCTGCAGTTGCCTATTCATTTGCTCGACCACCTCATCTGAAAATTTTTCATACACTTTTTTTGCCTCTGTCGAAAACTTGTAAACTGTAGTCAGCTCGCAATGCTTTTTGAAAATTTCGATATACACATCTAAAACATAAATAATATTTAAAAATATGGACTGGGTTCAGTTATAAGATAAAAATAACCGATATTTACTTAATATATAACCGATATATTCAATTTTTTTCAGCAAACCAGTGCCAAACCGTGCTAAAAACCCTAATTGGGGCAAATATTAATATATTCGTCTTATGCCTGACTAATTTCGAAATATTTGCCCCATCGCTAATTAAGCATCTATTAAGTACGTCCCTGGCGCGAACACAACTTGTTGACAGCTTGTTTGCAGAGCAGGCCTTGGTACAAAATATGATTATAAATAGCACCTTTGTCATCTAAAAATTTGACCTGTCAAACATGTCACTTTTAAAAAAAATTATCTTAACTTTTACAGTTTTTACTTTATACTATGCTTTAGAAGACACAACTATTTACATATAGTTTTCCATTCACAGTTAACAGAGCCTGCATGGCAAATGATTGTAACATGATCTGGACATTTTACGTATACATTTTATGAGGAAACACTCACCAGTGAAATCGGAAATAGGAAAAGTATCGAAAATGCCATTCCATTCTTCAACTTCATTTTCACGCAGAATGACGGAGTCGATGATACATGTACTGATTCTATCCAGAAATCCATCATCTGATGAATCCAAAAATTGATGTAAATGAATATATGGCTGTGGCTGACAAAATCCGCCGATAGATAAACACAATTTCTCAATTTCCTCCCTTTCGTCGAGCGCTTTGTCTGCATTCTTTTGATTGCTTCTCCCATGGCTTGTTTGAATCAATTTGGAATTTCCGTTGTGAAATCGACAAAACATTTGTCTTTCACTTGCACCATCGGTTTGTTTTTTCATCAGATTCTCGAAAAAGCTTGTCATCTCTGCATGGCAGATAAGCCCCCGTCCTCCACGGCTTTTTAAGTGTTCGAACAAACCTTTCATTGTGTAATCATGGACTAGAATTTTGGTAGACAAAGCTTCAAGAGGATCCTCTACTGAGATTTTATAGGCCTGCGTTTTTCCTGTCCCTGGTTAACACAAACACACGGTGAATATGTTGCATGGCTCCTTATGTCATCGACGGACTTCAAACACGCAGTTCGGACCCATCAGGCACGATGTAACTGTTAACGATCCCAAGAGGACGAATTCAGGTTGGGTATTGACTGAACCTGACATGGCTTCCAGCCACATACATATGAGAGGAGGCACAGCATCCCAAGGGAAGGATATTGCCCTAGCTTCCTTTATGATATTTTTTATGTCGTCAATTGGAATCTCCAATCGAAATCTGCTCCGTCCTTTTTGTTGATACATAATTTCTAAGAATAAAGTAGCGTAACAAGATTGTCAAGAATATTAACAGTTATATACTATAAAGAACAATACCAAAATTAAGTTAAGCAATAACTTACCTATTTATTAGCTATATACTGAACGTAATTTTTCCACAGCCTTCCTTGTACCCTTGTACAGCAGAGCTTGGCAGAGACAGAGCATAGTCAACGCCTTGGTATCTTACATGGGAGGAGTTGATATATGTCAATCAATAAAACAATGTATAGAGAAACTTTGAAGGATTAGGACAGTTGGGACAATATAATTGTGCAATATAAAGCGTTCTTGACCGTACCGCGTCTTTGTATGTGTATTTGCAATTACAATTTACTCCCATTGAAAACGCTTGAATCTAGATTTAGGCACAATTTAATTGTCGATTATCTTAGTTGCATCAAGATGATTTTTAAAATTGACAATCATGACACACCTATAACGGCTATTACACCTATAACGGCTATAAAGGCTATTACACCTATAACGGCTATAACAGCTATTACACCCATAACGGCTATTACACCTATAACGGCTATTACACCTATAACGGCTATTACACTTAATACGGCCATTACACCTAATATGGCTATTACACCTAATACAGCTATTACACCTATAACGGCCATTACACCTATAACGGCTATTACAGCTATAACGGCTATTACACCTATAATGGCTATTACACCTATAACGGCTATTACACCTATAACGGCCATTACACCTATAACGGCTATTACACCTATAACGGCCATTACACCTATAACGGCTATTACACCTATAACGGCTATTACACCTATAAGGGCTATTACACCTATAAGGGCTATTACACCTAATACGGCCATTACACCTATAACGGCTATTACACCTATAACGGCCATTACACCTATAACGGCCATTACACCTATAACAGCTATTACACCTATAAGGGCTATAACGGCTATTACACCTATAACGGCTATTACACCTATAACGGCTATTACACCTATTACGGCCATTACACCAATAACAGCTATTACACCCATAACGGCTATTACACCTATAACGGCTATTACACCTATAACGGCTGTTATTATAACACGCTGTTTTGCAAAATATTGCACTAGGTGCAAAACAGTTTCTGCCGTTTCTGGAGAAGCTTCTTCTGGTATAGTAAGCTCTCCGTCTTTGTGGTTATTGTCCAGGAAGAATGCCAAGGTGTTGAAAAGTACATGAACAACACCACAGAGCCTAAAAATGTCCATAATGTATAAATTGTTAGATTCTCAAAAAAGCTTGTCATCTCTGCATGGCAGATAAGCGCCCGTTTTCCACGGCTTTTTAAGTGTTTGAACAAACTTTTCATTTTCTCCTTTGCTCTCTCATCTTGTTCCTGAATTCAGGGAGGATCAACACTTGCGTTAAATACTTGGGGAAACTTAATGCGCATCAGTCTGTTGAACAGGACTGTAGCTGGTGCTTGACTTGTCGAACTATGAGGCATTGCTCTGTAATTCTGCAAAAATTTACAAAGTTCTTCCTTCCATGGGCGATGCTCTGTCTGCGCAACTTGGACAGTTTTGTTTAGTATCCGCATGAACCGTTCCACTTCTCCGTTGGATCTCGGCCGCAAGGGTGTTATCTTTCTATGCCGAAAACCCAAGACATCTGCAAATTGCTTGAAATCTTTGCCATTGAACGGAGGACTGTTATCAGACTTGACAATCGCTAGAACACCGTATTCTGCAAAGATCTTATCCAAAAGTGGAATAACCACCGCTGCAGAGGTTGTGAGCACGACTTCTACTACAGGGTACCTTGAATAATCATCTGTGACTACTAGTAAGTATCCTCCAGTCGAAAGTTCTTAAGAATCCACGCTGACCTGCCAGGCAGACTCGGGAAGCGGTGACATCTTTAGTGGTTCCTGTTTAGCTTCCAGTGTTGCTACTTGACACGTGATACACAATTTCACTCTCTTCTCGACCAAGTCATTGATTCGTGCAAACCAGACTTTTTCTCGCAAGAGAGCTTTCGTCTTGACAATTCCCTGGTGCCCTTCATGAGCCAGGTTAGTTCTCCCAGCGGTTGCGTGATGGTCGTGTAGCCAGGTATGAATCTTGAGCAATAGTTCGTCATGCCCAATAGACTTCACGCACATACGTATCTTGCCAGGTTGCTTTGGTTTTGGAGCCATGACAACTGGCACACCCATGGAGTAGGACCATCAACTCGCTCTATCACCCCATTCTCTTCATCTTTCTCGAGTTGCTCCTCAAGCTGTTTCCGCACTTGGAATGGGACAGGACAATGCGATTGGGCTACAGGAGGTACGCTATTGTTGATGTGCAACTTCACTTGGTAATCTTTTAATTTTCCAACACCAACCAATAAAGCCCCTTTTACACGACCAAATTTTCTATGTCAAATTTCATTTATCAAATGTTTTGCCAGTGTAAACAATTCAAATATTTTCTTTGTCCATTTGTTGAGTTTATGTCACATTTATCAGTCAGCGCTAAACAAAAATATACATGCGCGCTTTATTCTGCGCATGTAACACTGCCAAAAGAAAAAATGGCCCCATTCAGAAAGAAACCAAAACTTTTGGCGTGTGCAATAGGTTTTCACCTAATGCAAACGATGCAATTGAGGAAGACACGAAGACGTAAACGCCGATGGTGGGTTCGACCTTGGGGAAGTGAAGGGAGACGAGATGCACAAGGGCTTGTTAATAATTTAATTCCAGAATTAAGGGCAACAGACCCCGAAAGTTTTACCAACTTTTTCCGGTAGGTATATTTTATATTCGTAGTAAATGTATTTATAATTCTATCGACTCAATATTATTTATGTTAATTCAGCAAAACTATAGCATTTATTTTCCTTTTTATTCTTATTTCTGCTTAATTAAATAAAGTTGAATTCTTTGTAGGATGCAGCCTTTGTTGTTTGATGAGTTGCTAAGCAAGGCAAAAGAGCATCTAACGAAAAAGAATACGAATATGAGAAATGCTATTTCGCCCAACGAGAAATTATGTTGTACATTGAGATTTTTGGCTTCAGGTGCATCTTACAAAGACCTGTCCTATTCATTCAGGATATCAGTCCCAGCAATTTCTGCATTTGTGCCTGAAACATGCAGAGTCATTTATAACATCTTGGAAGAGCAGTACCTGAGGCCACCAGGCAAATGCTCTGACTGGAGAAAGTTGGCTGTAGAATTTGATGAAAAGTGGCAGTTCCCTCATTGTGTTGGTGCAATCGACGGCAAGCATATTGCAATAAGGGCACCCCCAAATGCTGGATCTGAGTATTTTAATTACAAAAAACACTCAAGTGTCATTTTGCTAGGTATTGTGGATGCAAATGCAAAATTTACATCGTTTGATATTGGGGCACCAGGCAGCATGTCTGATGGTGGGGTTTTTAAGCATGGTTTTCTTAAAAACATTTGTAAATCTGATATGTTTCCATCACCATCTAAGTTGGGTCTTCGACCAACTGAAATTCCATATTTTCTTCTTGGCGATGAAGCTTTCGCATTAGATCAAAATTTAATGAAACCCTATCCACATAGGTCAGCAAATGGAGATGAAAAAGTTTTTAACTACAGGTTGTCTCGTGCCCGAAGAATAGTAGAAAATGCATTTGGCATCCTTTCTGCAAGGTTTAGAGTGCTGTTAAAAACACTTGAATTAGATGTTACTAATGTAATAGAAGTTGTTCGGGCATGCATAGCACTCCATAACTTTTTGATAACAAAGAAGGATGCACACTATGCCCCTATTGGGTTTATGGACAGAGAAGATGAAAATGGACAGGTACTTTTGGGTGCATGGAGAGATGAAGTAAATGCTACAAATGATGGGAATGGTCATCCAAGTGATAGACCATCGACCTCACAAGCCCGGCAGATTCGTGATGACCTAAAAGATTACTTTTTCGAGGAAGGGGAAGTCCCTTTTCAGTGGAAAATGACCGAGTGAACATATATTTGAGTGATGTAGATTCAGTTAAGACATTTGACAATAATTGGCAATGTTGTAATAATTAATAAATAAATTTGTGTTAATAATATAATTTAATAATGAAAAACAATGTTAATATATTATATGATCAAAATTGCACTGACATAAATTTGAATTAAAAATTGTACTTACATGAATGTGACTAACATTTATGGAAATGGTGAATAAATATGCACTCAAATTATAAATATATATCATTTGTACTTTAATTAACATTTTATTATTTGTACAACCCGAAAGCTTGATTTATACTCTAACACAATATTGCAGGAACAAAGAAACATTAAATTGTATATAACTTATAAAGTGATCAAACAACCAAAACCTTTACTAATTGTTTAATGTTGCAGTATGTGGGCTGCAGAATAGATGAAGTATTCAAAACAGCTTGCATTTGGGGGCTATTTGATTGATGAGCCTTTTCTGCTATTTGAAAGATTATAGACTGAATTGCAAATTTTGCTCGACGTTGTGACCCTGCATTCCCAAGCCCCCTTAGCGAGTTGGCTATATCCTTCCCAAAGACATCCCACTCATCCTCCTCAGAACTCTCTTTTGCCAAATGAGATAGGGCATTAGCAGCAGTTTCCATCCATGTATTATCTGAAGAATTTTTTCGTTTTTTTTTTGGATGTCCAGTGACCATCTCCAAATCGACATTGTTTAGATTTTCTACCATATCTACCTCTTGTGTGTCATCATCTTCGTTGTTTGGGTTAGATGGTACTGTTGGTGCAAGGTTGCTGAATGTAGGTCTATTTACGGCAACTACATCTTCAAGAAATGCACACTCATTATAGAATTTCCATTTTGGTGTATAAATATCATTCGACCCACATCCAGTGTGTTCACTCTTCTTAACTTTACGTATTTCTTCGCGAAATGTAGTCCGAAGTCCCTGAATTTTTCCTATAACAGTATATAAACAAACCATTTTAATGGGCTTGTGGAATGGAAATCTAACCCAACTTATCAAAGATACTCATGCGCGATATTGTAAATGAATATTTGCAATTGCAAGTTCAAGATTTTTACAATAAAACGTGTGAGATGAAGTAGCTATGAGAAAGAGCTATGAGATAGCGATACAGACATTCAAATTTCAAAATTCTTTGGGCAAAACAAAATAGTCCTACCTTTCAAAGCCGTCAAATTTACGTTCGGCATATCATCGCCAAGAATAGACAATATTTCTTCATATTCCCTCTTTTTTATATTTTTATCTTTATATTGTAGAGATTTCGAATTCCAGAGACTTTCTCTGACCTTAAGAGCTTCAAGAAGTATATAAATCGATGCATCGGTCCATACGACTGGACGACTGACTCCTTGATTTGCCGCCATTTTGTTTGAAAATTTTTGCCGTATTTTTTTTGATATTCGTTTAGACGATCAAATTTTGACGTTTGTCATATTTTTTTTGAAGAGAAAAACTGACAACCCAGCTTTTGAACAAATGCATTTGTCAAATAAAATTTGCTGCAAATTCCTAATTTACACGGTCAAAAAACATTTGATAAATGAAATTTGACAAAGAAAATTTGGTCGTGTAAAAGGGGCTTAAATCAGAATATTCTTCTACAAGGCTGTCGACCCCGCTTTTGACATTCACACTTTCCAAAGGTGCGGTTGTGGTTATAAGAGGAAGCTTCTGCGATGTGGACCAACTAAGGAGGGACCCACTCGATCCTTTCACCACATATATTTCTTCATTCACTTTTTGTCCACACATTGTCGTTATTTCTGCCGCAAATTTTTCCACAACTGGGAGCCAGGAATTCGAATTATACGCATAGATACTGATGCCTGTGCTCTTTAAAATTGGAGACCATTCTGCAATCATCAGTCCTGTTCATCCAGAATGTTAATATTGGAACCAGAATCCGCCATTACCATCAACCTTGAACCATTCACTTTTACGTTGAAGAGCGGGTGTTTAGCATCGTTCTGTTTGACCCTGTGCACTGTCTTGAATAAATCGTGTTCATTGCTAGCACTGTCGTCCCTCAGGCTATCCTCGTCCACATACCGTACTTTGTAATGCTGTTCTCCCAAACTGTCTTTCGACTCTCCCTTGTGTTCACCACTGCGACACACGGACTGGAAATGGTTCATCTTTCCACACTTTCTACACTCTTTTCCATATGCAGGGCAGGATGTTCTACCACCTTTATGTGGGAATGATCAATTACAATTTCTGCATGTCGGCTTAGAATCTCTGCGGGATTGGACATCATCTTTTCCTTGATAAGCTTCTGGTCAGTGATTGTTTCTTTCGCCATTCTAAACTTGTTGACATTATGATGCTCCGAGCCAGCTAACTTTTCGACAGCTCTAGCTTATTGCTCTGCTAACTCCATTGCTTTGCCTTCACGTAAAATTTCTTAGAGTTTCATGTCCGGGCAGCTCAGGGCCTTTCAAGGTAACTTTGAGGAATAGCCCTTCAGTATAATTTGGGATTTGATTTCACATTCTGGATCACCGAACATGACGGGCATAAATGCTTTCAAAAACGCGCATGTTTGCCATTCATATCACACAGCGGTAATTCACATAAATTAATATTCAAAACAAGATGGCGGCCGGTCAAGGAGTTATTGATTTTGCCAAGGTTGTAGAACTTGTAGTAAACGACCGCGATGAGGAAGAAAATGACAAAATTAATGTTAGTCAATCACAAATTAGTGATAAGGAAGCTTTTAAGCAAACGTTGGGTGGCTTTTTAGATAGCTAAGAAGGTGGATCGGCGTTTAACAAGACCTTAATTCGTGACTCAGCACTGGAAATGATAGAACCACTTGTCAATATGTCCTGGAAAGAACCACAAGAAACAGGTAAAATGGAGGCTTTCCGTCTACTGTCATCTTCGTTTCATTTCCTTCCAGTGATAAGAAGAGAAAGCGTGCTCTGGCTTAACGCCATTTATCAACGGCTCAGCTGTAAGAAACATATTCGTAGTCCATACTATGCAGAAATATGAAGAGACATACCATATGGAATTTATAATATCGTCTTATGTGTTGTAAAAAATGTTGATGTGGCATAGTTTTCCCCTCCTCATTGCTTCTATGCAAATAACAAAGCAGCAGAGGTTATTTCTTTCACCACCAGTCATTCCACAACTAAATTATTTACCTTGCTGTCAGGATATGAAGATAAAGTGGTCATGAACTATTTTAAGAGAACTTTAGCAGGTAGAAGAAAAGGACACAAAGTTGAGCTAATAGTAAGTGATAGGAAAGATTTTGCTTTCATGTATAATTTTAAGAAGGGGCAATTGACAATTTCTTTTAATTATGGAGAATGGAATGTACATAGATTCCCCCAACATAGTTAATTCATTGATACTCTTTTTATATAAGAACTACTATGCCCATGTTCAATGTTTTTATTTTTTGGCTGATTTCAAGCTAAAAATATTGTGCGGTATATTACATGTGTCAGCAGTGTATCGCTGAATTAATTTCTGGAGATGATTGTGACCTTTCATAGGATGGGGTTTTTAATGTTGAAATTTGAGATTCATACTGTAAAATTTATATACTTTCTGTTTATATATAATTTGATTTGTATTACTCATTTTGAACATTGTTTATATGTTGATTGAACTGCTGTTGAAATCATGTACTATTATGATAGCTTTTGTACAAAAAATCCATTTTAATGTTTACAAATGAAAAGAAAAAATAATATTTCATTACTGTTGGTGTGCATTTGAAATACGCTGAAACATAATTCACAAGAACACTGGCAGTTGAGTAACCCAAGTTGGCCAAGCTGAACAAACCTACTTAAACACAAGATTTTTCCCTGAGGAAACACTTGATACAATCAACCTCATAAGCTTATCTGCACAGAATCTACACTTAACATCTGATATGCACACCTTCTGCAACCCACAATAACAGTATGCCAAATCTCCAGAGCTTACTTGTTTGGGGATATATGTCTTGGCACAAGAATGATCAGATCTCTCATTAGGAAGGTTAAAACCTCTCTCCCTGAACCAAATTAAGGATACAAATTCATGTCGGAAAATTTGTTTCCATCTGGAAACAAAATTGGTATTCTTGCTGTATTTTGCAATGAAGACATGTTTTGCCTCTCGTCCTTCCATCGAGTTAATACCGAGGCCAAGGTCATATTTGTCCTTCATGTACTGGGTATGGGCAGGAACAATATTGCCTATTGTCCAAACAGTGGGATTTACTTGAAAGAACAGAGCATTTGCCTGGAAATAGTCTCGACAGAGATTGGTAAGCTTCTTTATCTCATCATTTGAAATATTTATTTGACTGAATATCGAAACACAATCTCTAAGAAGAAGGCAAATATATGCAAGAATATGCAGAATAGTTTTCTGCCTACCAGGCTCAGAAATAGGTTCAATATATGAAATTAATTTCATGAAATGCAGGAGAAAAAGTCTTGGCAGCTTGCCAGTGAAGTGATATTCAAAACTTTTGCCATTAGCACCAGTTTCATCAAACCACTTGATGATCTTAGTCGCTAACCTTGATAAATTGCATTCACGCATGGAAAGGATGTACATTTTAAATGGAGAGTTTGAAGGAACCTGAGCAAAAGAATTCACCTTCTGTCCAAGCTTTGACATTGCAATTACTTCATGAAGCAACAACCTATGGGTAAGTGCACAAGCATTGTTTTTTAGGTGAAGCAGGTCTACATGAGCCCGATCAATCAACCTTCCAACAATGGGTTGAAATTCCTGGCGGCTTTTCAACTGGGCAATGAAGGATGTTACCTTAGATCTTACTGTGGCTGGTGCCAATGGTTTTTTGGCCACAGTTTTCTTAAAATGTCCAACCTTGTTTGCAGCAGAGACCCTGTCTTCATATTTCAAGGTCTTCCACATTTCCTTCCCAGAAAAACTGAAAGAACCTGCAAGAGAACTCATATTATGGGTGCTTACATTTGCAAAGGTAGAAAAGAAAGTGGCTGCGTTTGATAGTTCTCCACCCAAGAATGCCAACATCTTCATGTCGTTAGGAGTTTCTGAGACATGAAATCTTACATTAACCATCTCACCACCACACTCAACCTGAAAGGTACTTTTCTCCAAAACACTAATATCACTCAAGCACTTTTGTAGAAACCGACGCACTGGCACACAATCCTCTTTACAATTGGCTCCAAACAATAGATAATTATCATTGCTGCTTAGCACTTTCCTGCCTAAATTAAGAAAACTAACTAACCAGCAACACGAAGTGTCATCTTTTCCAAATGGTGCCCCATCGCCTCCAAGTGAAATATTGAAAGTGTAAGTTTGTTTCTTAAACCATACAAGCTCGTACCTCTTTTGACACACTAAGTAATATCTAGCAAGAATAAGAACTATCTCCTGATTATTTCTATACACCCCATCAACTTTGTCAATTTCATCTAGACCATCACAAAGTGTTTCCCTAATGGAATAAAGTTTACCAATATCTATTGATTTAATATAATGTGCCAGCTTGTGGTAAGGCAACAGTCTCGGAATAGGGCAGTTATTGATTTTTATATGAAGAGACTTTGCTTCATTACTCTTTTTGTAACTACTTGCCCTATAAACATTACGATACTTCCTTTTACCCATTATACCGCCACTATAATACACAACGATACTTCTTGTCATGTTATCATTTGACTTTTCATAATCATTTATACCTTTCTGTAATATCTTAGGAATTACTCTTTTAACTGTTTTAACATTTGTTGAAAAAACATTAACTGAAACTTTTTCAGAACATTTTGTTATTGCTGTGTCACACAGACCAACTTGGCCTGGTAAATTTGAGTGATTAGTAGCCTCATGAATCTGACATGCTGCCTCAAATGTCTCTGATCTCCTCCTTCTTGAAGTAGCTAGACTAACTGTACTATTTGCACCAAACTGAGTGGGGTTTCTCATCCTTATTGAGGTTGACCTCTCTGAAATAAATCTTTTCTTCCTAGGTGGCTCTGAACTACCATGACCTGCTCTACCTGCTCTATTCACTTCACTGATAACATCACCCCCTTCCTCAATATATTTATCAAGGTTTTCAATCTGAAGGCAATTATGAATTTTATTTAGAATGTGTGCAGCAGGAAAAAAAATACAAAAGCCAATATAATATACACAGCCAAAAACGCCCAAGTTGCAACAAGTCTGCTGCAGGCCTGTTGCAACTTGTTGTATCAAACTGATATAAGATGTGTTCGCATGGCTTGCATCAGCTTGTTCAGACAGGGCTGTTACAAGTTGTCAACGACTTGATGCAAGTTGTTTTCATTAGACCTGAATCAAGTTGTCTGTTAGCCTGTTAGAAGTTACAACAGACTTCCTGCAAGTTGTTGAATCAGACTTGTCAAGCTTGGGATTGACAAGTTGCATCAAGACTGCAAATGACCAACCTCGTTCCCAGGGTCTTCTGTGTTCATGGCGAGGGGAACAGCCACGAAGACCCTGGTCAAATTTGAAGGAATCTGCCACCTGATTGGTCAATCTCCACATGAAGATTTGTTGGCTTGTCTCTATTTATTTCATGTATAGTACTGTGTAGTTGTGCAACTTTAGCTCAACATTGTATTGTTTAAATTTGTCATTGATGACTAATGGAATGTTGCTAATGTTGGTCGTAGAGATTATCTGAAGAATTCTTTGTAAAAACAATCGACGGTCAACTGGGTCAAGGTATGTTTATTTTATTCAAACTATACTTGAACGAGGTTAACGCTAGAGTTTTCATATTTAAATCTTGACTATAGCGATTCCTATTGCAGGACAGATGTATGTGGCCCTCTTCAAGAGAATTGTTCCTTTAAAGTAGTTCTATATAGCCGTGTATTATTGCCATGTATTTTTTCATTTGTACATGAAATATCTTATCGAATAGTGGAAAGCATGATTCTTTCAGAACTGTCAAAATAATGGTCTTATTGGCTGTTTACATGCGTCCGGTTACCCGAGATTCAACGAAGCGTGAGATAATTTTGAGGTATTGAAATGAGCGGATAACATGATCCTGGCAGTCGTATAATCACCACAACAATAGCATGTACCTATTTGGTGTCTTAAAGACTTTTTTCAATACCTCAAAGTCCTCTCACGCTTCGTTGAATCTCGGGTCACCGGGCTCATGTAAACAGCACCTTATTGTTGGTATAAAGTACTGTAATGGATTGTTAATTACTAATATATTCTGTTCTGTCAGACAGATTTCTTTTGAAAACATATACAAAAGAAGTCTGTATACAAATATATGAATATGCACTCCTTCAAATTATTGCATCTAATTTTGGCCCTGTAAATTCCAACTGTTACTATTAATGTCCACATACATTTTTGACTCACAGTGAGTCATTGCTAACAGTCTTGCATTCTTTAGTGCCATTAACTTTACCAACCTGCTTTGCGCGCTTAGTATTAAAAACTTGTTTATCTGGTTAGTCTACTATCCAGCAATTAAAATGCTATTTGTGCATCTGTGAGTTGTCTCACTGAGACCTTTGATTTATGATGTCAATGCATGCGACAGCATGTTCTTTATTCTAAATTTGAAAGGTAGATAACATCTGATCAGCAGAAGTAATAAATTCACATTGTGCCACAATTTGGCTAATCAACTGGATTGTAAATCCTGTATTCAGGTCAATACCTCCAAATTTATTTTTTTTTTCAATCCAAGATTGAGTCTATAATTCATAAGTGAATGTAAAATGATCTTGCAATGTGCCTCTGATATTTTCCTGAGTCCTGGCTGGTCTTGGACTAATGATTGGCATTCAAAGGTGTGGTTAATTTATTTTTTTCCACTACACATTTTGCATCTACATTCATAGGAACATTTAATATTGCAACAAAGGTGAGGGATGCAATTTGGTACCTCACTGGACCCTAAGTATTCCAGCATATAATCCGGCAAACATGACAATATTAACCAATAACAAAATAAAACCTTCATTGAAATCTTTCATTTCAGAAAATACATGTAAATAGTTTGTGTCACATGCACTATTTAAAATCTTGACTACAGATTAACTGATGAAAGATTGTATTTCATGTTAAACAAATAAATGCAATACCAGCGTACTAGCAGAAATAGAAATAAACAATGAGATGAGGTTTGTATATACTTGAAAACTTTGAGGAAAATAGGTATAAAAATTTAGTTAGCCTCACTGCCTCACCAACCATGTCTAAAATGTTCGCATTAGCGAACTTTATGTTGGAGAATATCACGAAAATACTCTGCTAACTTGGATTTGTTTTGCTTCCCCAATGTTTTACAACAAATGTATAATTTTTCTATTTCGGTCACGCTTGCATACAAGCTCAAAGAGTTTTTTAAGATTCACATGTTGAAAGTCATTACAATCTTATGAGGTATGGTTAAAGCATGTGTCTTGAACCATTTATTGTAAATATTTCGCATAAATTCGCTTAACTTTTAGAATAAAACGCGAGGTAAACACACAAAAAATTGTAAGCGCCAGCGCTTAATCTAGTCAGCAACACTCGATTGTTTGTTATTGCGCATGCGATAAATCTCCAAGAATCTTGGAGATTCCTTCGAATTTGACCAGGGTCTTCGTTGGCCTTTCCCCTCGCCATGAACACAGAAGACCCTGGGAACGAGGTTGGCAAATGACAAGTTGCAACAAGGCTGATTTTCACAGGCTTGTCGCAACTTGTTGAAATTAACCAGCTTTTTGCAACTGGTTGACAACTTGAAACAAGCCGGTAAAACTGACAACTTGTAACAAGTCTGTGGCGTTTCTGGCTGTGTAGTAGAGTACCAGTCTGTGAAACATGCTGCTCAGGTCTACATTCAAAGCACAATCAAATTAATGTTTATATAACTCAATATATAAAAAAATACACTAACTTTTGCATCTATTCGTCTCATTCTCTCACGTTTTGAACAAAGTTCCTTCTCTTTCTGAGCTAATTGCACATCTGTTTCCTGAATAGCTTTTGTTTCTTTTAAAACATCGTCCCATTTCTCCTTCTGCAAGACCATATATTTCCCAACAGGAAATCTGTTGTATTGCCTCTTCCTTACACCACTTGAGGCAGCCATGCTAGAAACATGATAAAATCCATCAAAATACAAGAAAAACAAGTGCTTTCTTGCCAAACAAAAAACATACGATAGAAGAACAATACCTAAGCGTTAAGTCTTTGCCAAAGAACAAGCACAACAACGTAGCTGCCCAAAGTTGAATGAAGCCAAACATATCATTGTGTGTACTTAATGTGAATACCAAAACAATTCTTCAAAATAGGGTATCTACTTGCACGTAAAAAGTAGGTCAAATTAAATATTTTCTCTGCATATTTGCTATCAAACGGGAGCCTTTGTTCAGCTTTACTTCGCTCATTAACTCAATTTTCTGAACAGTAAAAAGAGGCCTTATGGGAAGGCGTAAAAGTGGAGATAAAATCAAAACTTCTTGTTTTTCCGTATTAAGCAAACTCGAACCCAGTTTCCCAAAAATTGCGGGTCGCGACCGACACGATCTACGTGAGCGAATTTATTCCAGCCAGTGCCCGCCGTGGAACTGGCACGTTAATGAGAGCTGTTTTAATCGAGTATAGGATGTCATCAAATCTTTGTCACACTCTTGCTTCGCTTGTCTGAATTGTTATTCTTCGAGGGCTAAATTTTGCTTCGGTTGAAAATAGTTCGTAAGGGCGTCGATTGCTTTTCCCAACAGATCTTCATCTTTATTAGCCTCTGCTTTGGGTAATACTTTGAGAATATCATTGACTTCCTCCCCACCGAAATGCATTAGGAGGGCCTTTTGTCGATTTGCGTCTATAATATTTAGTGCTACAAACAAATTTTGAAAATGTCCTAAGTATTTCTTCCATCGAACTCATGGGGCGCCTAATGTTGGACTTGGGTCAAAGCTAGGGAATGGCGGTAGTGCACTAGCCATAATTAACTTGAGGCTTTTACTATAGTGTTGAAGGTGTTTTCTATCGTTTGCTGAACAGCTGTTTCTTTGCGTCGCTACGGTTGATTAAACACATATGTTTATATGGTTGTCTCAATCTGAATAGCTTCTCAGCAAAACATCATTTCGCATAGGTTGTTTTCTTTGCCAATATCCTCGTCACCAATGTAATGTTTTATGTCTTAGCTTAAAGAACATGTATATTACTTGTCTAAAACTTGGTGTATTCTAAATTCCGCCAAATTACACATTCCTCTATTATATACCTAATGTACACTCATTTACATTATGTTAATATACAGCAAGTAAACTAGTAGATTACAGGGGGGTATTAGAATTCTTCTTACTCTGCATACATACTATTGACCTGCTGAATTTTTACTAACGTAAAAAAATCCTAGATCTGCCCCTAATCTATCTGACACCCTATCCCTTTAAACAAGGAAACAGACGATAACTTGTGTAGTTTTACTAGTGTATATACATAAAATTCCTAATATAAACAGCCCACAGTCCCACTTAAACTTTTTGTTAACAAATCAGACTTGTATACTTGGAACAGTATTGAACGAAAAATGAATATCATAAACCTTTCAGTACCTGATGGTTGATCTTCCTGTTCAGAAAAAAAACTCTGTGGGACAACTTGTCACATGTTGATAGCTTGTGAACCTTATGAAATAGCCTGCTTACAAAATACCAGTGGGAGTTGCGTAGAAGACAGAAAGAGTTGCTGCCCTTCTGAACGTAATCAGAAGAGATGCCCTGGATATGTACGAAACATTTCAGTGGGATGATGAAGGTGACAACTTCAAAATAGCAAAAGTACTGGAGAAATT